GGGCAGGGAAAGTTTCTTATGATGGCTCGATAACCAAATCAAAATATACAAAAATAAACCGATTTGTGAATTCGTAGGGAATTGCTCAATTTCTTTGTTAACATTACTATATTTTTACATACTCAGCTTGAAAGTTACAGTATTCCCAAATATTTGAAACAGAATGAAAAACAAAGCGTTAGCCCAGTTTTTCTTTTCCAAATAAACTCGGAAACGGTAGGGCTTGGGAAATTTAACGTTTTCAGAAGAGTAACTCATTTAAAAAAATTAAAAACTTTTCACAGAATGTCACAGTGGAAATTTAGATGTGTCGCCCATCTATGCAGATGAATTTCAAACTATCCACTTGGGCATCGTGTGGAAATGAACTATTCTTGAGAACTTTCAGAAAACTTATAGACAAACTCCATGGAGTTCAGAATTTAAAAAAAAAATCAAGAGCAAGTCTATACGTCTTCCGGGACTCGTTTTCGTACTCGGAGCTTACTGGACGCCTCCGAAGCTCTTTGTATCCCTTCGAAATATTGTTAACAGCTCTGAAGCTCGTAGATTTTATCTGAAGGCCGCTGAATCTATCTGTAGTACACAGAACCCTCCAGAATTTCCCTGCTCCTTGCAAAAGTTATCTAATGCCTTGTTCAGACTAAAGAGTTGTAAAATGTTACAAGTGTATTATAATAATTATCGACAAGAAAAACGTCATCAAGATAGCCTGTTATAAGTTCGTAGTGCGAACATAGCATAAGGAGTGTTCAAATAATTTAAAAGAAATTTACAGATCTTTTAAGAAGTTCAGCGAATTTTAGATAAAAGCAGGCTTAATTACACTCACTTAGCTATAAAATGTGTTTTTCGGAATTATGAAATCATTAGACGTTATATTTTGTAATTGCAGGGTGGCCAGTGACTTTTCATTTTGAAATTCCCGGTTTTTTCCCGGTTTTCCCGGTTCAAATCTTAAAAATTTCCCGGTTGTTGATATTCAACAAAAAACGAAATCGTACGCATTTTTTAAAACGTGGCCAACTGTAAATTTTCAGTGGTTATTTGTGGGAAAAATGAAAGCCAAATAACAGAAAGTGTTTCTTAAGCTATAGGAAACATTCAACTCTATGAGTAACTTAATGTATTCAAAACGATTTATTGATCTTTCGAGATACTTTGATAAATCGAATTCTACCACTTTTTATGATCGATACATCTTATGATTTCAAAGCCCTAGAATTTATTGAGTGACTGAAATTAAGGTCACTGGGCCAAATGCTATCTGGATGAATAGGTTATATAATAGGTGAATTGTGAAGAATAAGAGATTAAATTTTAAAAATGTTTTAGAAAAATGAACGTGGTACAAATGAGAATTAGAGCAAATTGATAGTGATATCGGATAGAGAAGATGTGTATTCACTAAAAGATTATTTACTAAAAAGATGGATTCCCAAGATTCTGGGGCTTTGAAATTTGTATAGCGTCTGAAAATAGAACTTTTCTTCAAAATTTGGGATTAATAACAATCTTCGTGATGCAAGATTTAGAGACAAAAATAGTTAAAATGTGAGGGTTTAAAAATTTTCCAAGATCACAGATTTGAAAAAAAAATCATATTTATTAAATAATCGTGCAGTCATAATTGTCAAGGTTCTGAGACTTGGAAGTATTTTAAAAGTTAAAACAAATTACAGAACAATCGATAGAATCCTGCGGACAAACCCTGGAATTTTCAGTAAAATTTAAAAGTATTCAAAGTGTTGATTTCAAAAAACTATTGAGGAGGATCCCACATAATTTTCGAAGGAGAAGTTCAGGGCAGAATTCCAGAATTATTCTGACATGAAGTCCTTAGAAATTGTTACAAACATTTGGAAGGATTTCTGTGGAGAAGATTGCAAGTTCTAAATTAAATTATTATTAGGTAATTTTTGAAGAATCCTTAGAGAATTAAGATGAGAACTAGAAACAGAGTTCTAAGAGTGTTCTGGCAATAATTTCAACCCTAGTGAGAAAGATTCATCAAAAGGCTCCAACAAAATCTATTGCAAAAAAATTGCTCATCATTAGTAAGAAATTCTTTAAAATACTCCAAGAGGTTTCTAATATTTTTTTTTAGATTTATGCTAGAGTTTAAAAGAAAAATTTGAAAAGGATTTCAATGAAATCAAAGTCTCCGAATATGTTTAAGTGAACTCTAAGAAGGATTCCAAGCAATTTCTTAGAAGGGGTTTCAAGGAAATTCCAAAAAAAAAATCAACGGTAATTATTACGCAGAGTGTTTTCTGGTTCTGGTCTTTTAACTTCTATAATAATTCAGAGCAAAATTCCAAGTTCATTCTGAAATTCATATCATGAAAATTTATAATAAAATTAAAACCCGGGGAAATAATAGTTCAGTTTCAGTTTTTACAAATATTTGTTTCTTAAGGCCGTTCGCAATGCTGTTGTATTTTATAAGGACTGTTTTAATTTGAAACTAGAACAGAAACGCACCTCTCACAATGCTGAGTTGCTGAGAGCTGAGTGCTGTGAACTTCATAGAAAACAGTAAAGTTTATGGAACTTGATGATTACAAACATCTTTTAGAACTGTGCGTTGCGCTGATCGTGTTGCAGTTTTATTTTTGACAGTTTCAAATTATAGAATTGTCGGGAAGTTTAAAACAAATTTGAAACTCAGCATTGCGAACGGCCTAAGTCCAGCGTCTTCAATATTTTGTTTTAATGCTGATACACTTTACATCTGAAATTGAATTTTGCGATCAATTTGAAATATTGCTGAGTGATTAAATTCTAAAAACAATAAGGTGGGAATCTGAAGAAAATGCAGCAAATAGAGAAAGACATTCATTTGGTTAAAATCACTCTGTTTTAATGGTTTATTCTGAAATTCTGATGTGAAAATATATTCCAATGGTGCCTAATTTATTTTTCCCGGTTCTCTCATCGAATTCCCGGGTTTTTCCCGGTTTTCCCGGTTACTTTTCAAATTCCCGGATATTTTCCGGTATTCCCGGTTCGCTGGCCACCCTGTAATGGTAAATTACAAGAAGAGGTTGTAAAGTACGGGGCGTTCATTCAAATCCAATTTTTCAATTTCCGGTTTTATCCCGATCATTAAAAAAATAACCAAAACATCACTCCTGATTTAAAAAAAGAATGCGTTCGAAAATAATCGTTTATAGATAATGAAATGTTTTCTGCAGAATTATTTTACAGTACGTCTACTTTGTAGAATAAATGACATATAACATACTGATCATCTAGATCTCCAAAATCCCATGGAATCATTAATTCGTATGAAATCAAAAAGCCTCCTGCAGAAAATGAGCCAAAATATAGTCATAAAACTCACATATCAATACAAGGCACCTAAGCAGGAGAAACGCAATATAATACAACATTTTGTGGGATACAAAGATCTGTTACCAAAATATGTATCATTCTCCAAATAGTCCTGGAGATATTTTACAGATTAATAGAAATTTTACTCGATTTCCACTCAGATTTTTTGAGCGTTTTGTGCTTCACGGAAACTCATGACATCATTTAAAATTATTAATTGTGTTTAAAAGTAACATTGTTGGATTATCCAAATCATCCAGGATATCTGACCATGAAGTTCGGTATACTAAACAAAGGTATACGATGATTCAACTTAATGATAGAACATTTGTGAAGCCCCATAATATCATTTTATTATTATTATTATAGTCACTTGGTGTTACTCTTGGATCATTCGTGACTTATCCGGGTGAGATTTGAACACATGACTCTGGCGTGAGAGGTATGGGTTCAGATCTTTATGTTTTACAGACTTTGTTCTGACTAATCTTATGTACCTGGTTAGCACAAAGTGTAGAAATTAATTTTTAATTTATCTCTGATTTGCATGCCTTTTTATTGGTATGAATTTGCTTCTCTATCTTCAAGTCAAGCTTCAAGTAGCTTCGTTACTTGATATATCTTGCGCAGGCTTTATACTAGAACTACTACACTCGGAAAACTGTAGCAAAAGAATTCAAACACCTTTCTTCCAAAAGTAATTCTGAAAATTCACTCCGTAAGCTATCGTGGTAGGAACAACGGTAAAATTGCCGTTTTCCCCGTGTCCCAACAGATTGCGAGTGAAAGAAATCACTAGTTTTTGTAATTTTGAGGATTTTCGATACTTAATATGAAAGATGTAAACAGATGTGTAAACAAGAGAATATATGTATGCAAATGATATAAAATTGATTGATTCCAAGTATCATTGCAAGTGTTTTAAAGATTTATAGGATTCTTCAAGGCCAACATATGGCCTACAAAACTATGATAAAACCAAAATTGTTACATGGGATGAGTATATATCGACAGTGAGCATGCATAAGGGCCTATACGCGATGATCGATTCTCTTCGTCGATTTTCTCTTTTGTTAATAACTCGCTAGATTTAACGTTTCTCGGTGCGTTTGCTGTTGCTTTTGATAGCCAATACAACCTGTTACTACTCTGCATTGAACAAATTCTAGAAAATTGTTTCGCTTAGCTGTAGCAATGCAAAGAGAAAATCGATGAAGAGAATCGATCATCGCGTATTCACCCTTATGAATGCTCACTGTCGATATGATCTTTCCCGATGCGATTTGGGTTTTCCCGCATTTTTCCCGGCAAATCCGGATTCCCGGTTTTTCCAGTTGGATAAAAACCCTGCAAAACCTATCAATTTCGCTTTCAGAGAGTCACAGTCAGCGATTTTGACAGGTTGACAACAGCAACCCTAATAAAAGTTGTGCTAAGATAAAGCAACTTAATGTAAAAAGGTTTCAAGAAAAAACACTTTTCATGTTTTCTTCTATCTTTATTTTTCTGTAAGAATGGGCAAATTTTAAAGGTAGGATATTAATCTAGAGATCATTATGGTACTATGGTTCGTATATACCATTACTTTCTAAAATTCGGTGGGATCCATTTATTCACGAAAATACACCTTTTTCATAAGTTCATCATGCCCCATGACCACTTACCTCAAATGCACTCCCCTAATACTGCGTCAACCGAAATATCGTTCCGGTTGTCACTGGCTCCATCTTTTCCCGATTTTCGGTTCCTGTACTCTCCGAATTCCAAAGAACAGCTTCACCCGGTTAATTTAGATAGTGTGCTCCTATACCCGATGGTAGCACAGACTCTGCCGTCTGCTGAACTTAATGCCGATGGCTGACTGTGCCGTTACCACACCGACCGATGTGTCCTTGCTCCGATCTGTGCACGAATGTGAGTGTTTTTTCGCCTATTGTTCTTCGTTCCACTTGAGATTACTTCAACTTTTTCTGCACCCTGCTCTCAAGGACACGAAATTGCACTGTTCTTTTTTTTTTCTTCGCACTTTTTATTCCGTATTACTTTTGGTGGATCACTTTTATTGTTCAGTAAAAAAAAATCTTCTTTTGCGGCACGGAAGTTTTTACACTTTCTTATTATTCACACTGCAGTAGCAGCCACGACTATGCTCCCGTTAGGAGCATTAATTTACACACATTCTTCCATCTTCGCCCCAATCACAACAATCATGGCTGCTGAGCTGACGACTGCCTTACTTGTATGAGGGACCAAACACGGGAAAATTGGATGGATGGCACAGACACAGAACTATTTTCAGTTCGACGATAAAGCTGCAAATTGGGTAACCAAATTTACGCAACGACGACGAAAACACTTCCACGCAGATGGATCGCCTTTCTGGTGCATATTTCTGAACCTTTCAACTCTTTTTTCTTCCCCTTTCTGGTGACTCGAAAATAGACCTCCAACTTCTAGCACTACAAAATGGGGCCACACTTCAGCTGGGTGCTCACTGCCAATAATGCACTAACAAACCAAAAATCGACACAATTTTTTTTTCTCCGAATACCAATTTTGCAATATTATTCCACAGCGCACAACAAGATTTCTCACTAATTTATTTACGCAATGCCTTAAGGCAGAACCAAAAAAAAATCCCACTTTATTATTCTCAAGGAAAAGCAGCCCCCACTACACACGGCGGAACAACACAAAAGACGGTGTTACTTGCGGAGGAAAACCTTCGAGAATGAAAACTTTGTGTGGCCCCGCAGAGGTTGAAAATTTTCACACTCCGTTTCTGGCAGCTAGAGAGAGAGAGAGCGAGTGAGAGAGAGCTTTTCCTTTCTCTCGCTGGGGGCATTTGTTGACATGTCAGCGAAACAGCGTGGGAAGGAAAACGTCAACAGGAACGCAAACTTATATGACGCATGTTTTGACAACGAGATGGCGCGCGTCCATATCGTTCATTCCCAAAGCACTATGGGAAGGATGCTGGCACTAAAATGTTATTGAACTTGAGTGCTTGAGCTTAAACACCAATTTTTTTTAATCGGTTTCCAGCCAAATGTTGAACTGCTTTCAGCAAATCTTTATTTTACTGTACTTCCAGCAAATTGAAAATTTTTGCTGGGAGCCCAGAAAATCGTAATAATTATCAAACTGCTGATCGATGGTTAACTTCTAGGTTTCTGATGGTTTCAATGAATATTAATTTTGAAAGAATTTTTCTAGACACACAATACCGTGTAAACACACTCAATTCTGTTAAAACGTGTTTTTTTTTCAGCCTTTATTTTGATCGGTTCAAATTGCAACAGAAGCACACAAAAAAAAAAACAAAAATATGGTGTATAAAAAAAGGTTTGCTCATCCTGCATGAGGGCAAATCCAAAAAAAATTAATTCGCATAAAAACATAATCAAGTGTACATAATATAATTTAAATCAAAACAAAAATTGAAGAAATTAAATAACTGATCTTCCAGCAAAATCATTGGTTTTCGGTTTTGCAGGATAATCAATATAAACTGGCACTTTCACGTCGGGTCAGTTTGCTGGTCGTTCAGCAAAAATATTTTGGTAGAAGAATTGCTGTTTTAACAACTTAGAAAAATCCAGCAAAATTTTGCTGGTTTCCAACAAATAAAAATAGTGTGATAGAGCTTACACGAATAGGAAAAAAATAAACAAGCCATATAGATGTTAGCTAGAAAAATTCAAAGCAAGAGAACAGCTTAGAAAAAACCATGGATATGACAAATAAATCCATGCATCACTTGCATTTGTAACTGCTTGTGATTTTGTGTTACCATAAGGTTTGTAATAGGAATTATGTTTGAACAAATAATATTATCACAAGATTATTCCATATTTATAATATTTTTATTTAGTTATCTTTAAGCAAAATATTTGTCATGAGTTATCTTTAAGCAATTTCAATACTTCCCCATAATTAAAAAAATCGATTGTAAACATTACAGATTGGAACCGCTTTTGACAATTCGATTGGATTCAAAACAGTGTGTCTGGTAATCTCTTATTCTAGTACTTCTTATTTTTTCCTTTGCTTGCTTGGCATGAAGTAATGCTAAATTTCATTCATATTATTGAATATATTAAATGAAACAGCAAAAAAGGTTATCTTCCATTTAATTCCACTCAATTAATTTTGGTATCCATGACAGATACGTATTTCGACTACAATGTGCAGTCTTCATCAGTATCATTCCCACTAAAGAACTTATCAAAATTGTCCTTAAGTGATCTTGATATTTTTACCTAGGGGATGAGTTCTTAAGGGGGTTAGATTTTGATAAGTTCTTTAGTGGGAATGACACTGATGAAGACTGCACATTGTAGTTGAAATACGTATCTATTATGGATACCAAAATTAATTAAGTGGAATTAAATGGAAGATTACCTTTTTTGCTGTTTTATTCATTCATAATATGACATATTATGTCATTTTCAAACCATGCAGTTTTCTTTCAAGCCAACTACACCAAAATAGAATAACAGTTATTGTTTGCGGGCCTCTCTTAGCTCAGTCGGTAAGCGCAGCTACAAAGCAAGACCATGCAAGAGGTTCTGGGGTTCGATTCCCGGTCCGGTCTAGGAATTTAACGGATTGAAAAATTTCTCGACCTCCCGGAGCATCTAGAGTATGATGTATGATTGTACTTGCCACTCAATTATACTAATACAAGAATGGCACAGGCATCTCAATTAATAACTGTGGAAGTAAAGAAGAATACCAATATTAAAACAGTCGGAAGAAAAACTTTGTATTTTAGTGTCTTCTTTCACGGTCCGGTCTTTCGGATGCAAGGTAATTTTTTATCAAAACAATCACACTCGCAATCACATCAAAATCAGAGATGTCCCAATTTTGTGATAACTCGATTAATAACTAATCGATTATTTTTTGTTCGCTGCACAGCAAAAAAATAATTTTGATATCACGTCAAAGTGGATGCACTACAATCATGTCGAAAATATGGTGTAATATTACTTGCTAAATGGACAAAATTATCATTTATACAATGCATGAACTGACATTACCCTGTTTTAACTGCATTTGTTTATTTATTTGGTCATAAAAATTACATGAAATTTTCGACATGATTGTAGTGCATCCACTTTGATGTGATATCAAAATTATTTTTTTGCTGTGTGTGCTGTCCTTTTTCCACCATGAGAGTGCAGCACATGCTTGAAACGATGGGTGATGAAGTTAAGGTGATTTCCTGTGGCGTCCTTTTTCGTGTTACACTTCGCAATTTCACATGTAAAAATAATAAGGTTTCTGTGAATGCACGTAGCTGAAACTACTACTTGTTGTTTGCTGCGGAGAAGCAAGCAATGTCTGAAATTTGCAGGTGTATAAACCTTGTAGATCTTGAGTTGTGTGCTCTTGAAACAGATGGCTGTAGTTGCATGCGTAAACGTCAAAGGCAAGGGAATTGATAAACGGCTTAGGCACCATCTTCCCAAAAGAAGAACCGGATGGATTTAGATCAAGACTAATTTAGCTACAACAATGGTCTTTAGAATTTTTCATACAAGGATCAAAAACTTCTGACCGTATTGTGCAAATGCCTAAGTATTAGCAACCGGTGGAAACTAATGATTTAAAATTGGCTCACTACTTGCTTAGCCTATTGGTCCCAAGCAAATCGATGACCGTACCCCATTCTATTCGACATTCTAGTACTACACTATATTTACTTTGGTTCACTATGAAAGTTTGACAGATAAAATGAAGGGTTCGTGTTTCGAGGGGTGCATTGATTAGCTTGGGATCGAAGATATAACCAGAGCTGAGCCAAAAAGTTGAGCACGTTTCTTCGGGACCTTCTGGTCTTAGAGTTACCTCTATGGTATTAGTGCTGATCATTGAGGTTAATTCAAAGTATAAGTGCAAGAAAACCGTGTACACAGATAGAAATTTCTTTATACCTTTTGGCAAATTTCTATTGCTGATTATTTATTAAATGTATAAGTTTATTAGCAAACGCCTTGCAAAAAGTTAATGAAGCTCATGTGTCAAATGAAATGTATAAGTGGTCACACATACCTTTTATGCGTTCTTATAGGACCTATGTGGTATGTCTTATGGAATGTATAAGGCTGATGTTTTGGCAAAAATGTATAAGTGAAACACATGAATAAAATAATTGGTTTTCGTTTCGTGTACACATGCGCACCTATACTTTTTTTTTCGTGTTGGGTGTATTCATCACTGCGACCATTACTTTGATCTATTTTGATATATTCCCCGTTTTTGTATTGTTTTATCAGTATCTCGTATCACTATTTTTTAAGCGACCGACATAGACTAAACAAAAGCATTTTCCCAGCCAGGTATTACATTTCGAATGAAATCTGGGACCTGCATTCCAAACATCAAAGGGATCTGCCAGCCTCTTATCCAGAAAAATACGGCTTTTATTGAGGATTGCTGTACAAGAGTATAGCAGGTGTTCAGAGTCTTCCTTTTCTATGCCACAGAATCGACACATATCCTCTTGAAGTTTTACTATTAACTTCAAGCGATATTTTTACATGGACAATGTCCGGTTATCAAACCAGTATAGACACTGGGATTTTTTTTTGATAATCCAAGAATTCTGCTAGTCATTAAAATGTTCGGATTTATTGACCGTTTTGACTGCCTAGCAATAGCAGTGTTGTTCTAGCTAGTCTCCACTTTCATTGTTTCCCATTTCATGATATCCATTTTAAGAGCATAAGCAGAATGGTTCTGGGCCTATGAATTGTAAAAAGATGATCCTAGCCTGGCTAACGTGTCCACAGTGGCCAGGAACCCAATATAGGTTCACTTGGTTTCGACAGGTCAATTTCGGAAGTGACATAGTTTATTACCATACGAGTTTTGAATTGCATGTTGCTGATTTTAAAGCATTTATTGCGACTTGACTATCAAACATAATGCAGATATTCCAATGTTTATAATTTCTGCGCAGTATGTAATATGCCTTCAAGAATTGCTTGAATTTCTGCTTGGAACAATGATTGGCTAATAACCCATTAATATCTATCCCTGGACCAGTTACCCTTGCTCCCACACGTCTTGAACCATCTGTATAAAAAACAGTTGAACCTGGACGGATGTTTGGTCGCCCACTAACCCAAACATTACGATCGAATTCTGTTGCATTGTATTAACGATCGAAATGATAATCTTTCGCTTTCCAGTCTTAATTTTTTAATACAAGATAATCAATATCAAACATTTTTTTTTTAAATTCTCACCCCAGCAGGCCTGGGTTCAATCCCAGTCGGCGCCGCCGGGATGTTCTGAGGCATAACATCTCTGATCACGCCTTCCTTTGGATGGGAAGTAAAGCCGTTGGTCCCCGGTTCATGAGTTGGTGGGTCGATAGGTAGGGTCCAGGTGTGGGAGCTGCCTTCCTGGCACGTCGGTAGCATTGGTGCTCAGCACGGAAAACAAGATCGACGGAAAAAAACAAACTAAAGAAATTTTTTGTTTTTTAAATTCTAAGGTGTTAAAAATTACTGTGTCCGTTGAATCATTAAAACGTTCATTTTAGTTTTTTAGTGGATAAATTTATGCAACAGAAGCAGATAATGTAGAGCATCTAGTGCCATACTCGGTGTGCTGTTCATTATTTATTATGCTGTTCAGCTATTGAGAGAGTAGCAAGTCTTTGGAGTCTCCCCAGCTTTTTCTAAGCCGATTTTTCATTAGTTTTCGGCCACTAAACCAATGATAC